CTCGATCTTGATTTCCCCATCTCCTTCCGCCTTCGCCCCATTTAAGTTTATTCCTCTTTTCAGAAAGCTAAGATAGGTCAGAGTTCCATGTGGTTGTTTGCCTTTTCATTTTATTTCTTTATGATTCATGCAGAGGGAAAACTCGCAATTCGGTGACTGCCAACGATCGGAATCATTTCAAAGAAGTATTTGTATCTGTACGTGTATAAGTGCATAAGGAAATATCGAGTGGAAGGATTTACAATTTTCAAAGTCTTCTATCTACTATGTTAAAGAAGAGAAAGTCATGACGGCAACTGTGGTAGACGCGAGTCTAGCGAAAGGCGCCATTGGAGGGGGTAGCATTTTATGTACAATCGCGTCCAATGCTTTTCCAATACAATCAAAAACAAAAAATATACCGCAGAGGAAGTAGTGGGCAAAAACGAGTCTCGAGTCGCTATTGACATCAAATTGTATGATTATAATTTTGTAGAAACATTCGGCACGTTCTTTGTTGATTTCTATTTTTCACCTCAACACCGTAACGAAGTCATTATTGGGCAAGAGCCTGCATACAGATGTCTGTTGGGACATAGAAGGTGGAGGAAAAATAGGGGAAAATGAAAGTGTGTGTGTGTGTGTGTGTGTGTGTGTGAGAGAGAGAATGAGTGAGGGGGGGGGGGGGGGGGTGATTGAGCGAGTGAGTAAGTGAGCCAGCCAATGAGTGAGCGAGCGAGTGCGAGGAATGGGAGAGAGAGAGAAAGAGAGAGAGACGTGGAAAGCGTGGCGTTGCGTGTTCAAACAGAAAAACAGTCCAGCAAGGCTACAATCGAAATGTTTTTAAGCATTTGTAGAGAGACCGAGAGAGAGAGAGAGAGTGTGTCTCTGTGTGTGTGCGTGTGCGTGTGTGTGTAGGTGTGTGCGTGTGTGTGTGTGCGTAGGGGCGCGCGCGCGCGCACGCGCCAGGAGTCAAGACTATGAGCTCAAGCTTAAGTGACATTTTCACCAACTCTATGCTAACACGCGCTGCTACCTTGGAAATTGCTAATACACGTATGTAATGTAAGACTTCGTACGAAAATATCGCGAGGACCGGTTTTTTCGTATCATTTGTATTTCACATTTCGCGGCTGAAGAAACAGTAGAAGCCGATCGTCACCGAAAATAAGCAAAACAAAAGGAAAGATAAAATGGCAATGCGGATTACCCACTGGATAAGTGATATTTCTATTTTTATGACAAACGATACTTTTTTTGTAAATTGGAAACAACTGTTTGGAACAATAAAGTGCATGTTCGATCTGAGAAAGTCTATTTTTTCGCATCCATAATTATAATGAAAACAATTTTTTTTTTTACAGTATCATATATATATATATATATATATATATATATATATAATAACTTTTAACTTTACATTTTTTATAACTTCGCATTCTTTTTTTGTTTTACTATTTAACTGAAAAATTGCTTATCACTGAATTGCGATCGCCATGCGCAGTGCAAAATAAAGTCATAGTTTTTTTTAAAAGCTTATTAAAAACGTGAACACTACATCGATAAATTATGATAATTATCATCGTTAAATCATTTTTTTTCTTTTTTTTTCTTTTTTCTGTTTCTTTATTTATTTTTTTTTTTTTTTTTTTCATTCGTTAAGAAATGAGTCGACGACATAATTGTTATTATGCGATCCGTATATTATACACAACAATAATTTTGTAATTACATAGACATATGAAATAACGATGTTGTATTCGAGTCAATAATCACATGATTGTACAGACAATTTCAATAATAATTCAACCTTCTATCATGTATTTACTGTGTTACTCTGAAAAAGTCTAATAAAATTATTTTAAAAAGGAATTATGCCAGCCTCATATACCTCCCCCGCACATTTATATGACCAATGATCTGCAGTTGGGACACGTATGAGGAGTCAGCGACGTGTCGAGCCCAAGATTTAACATTCTTTTGCGTATAATTAGATAAGTCGTGCGTGTGCTTTCGAAAGAATTGGATAAACCTGTCGAGTCCCGTATAGGCGATAGCGCATGCATCGTTAATCGAGAGCTTATCAGCTTTTATCAAATCTCCACGATGATCTGCTGCGTTATTAAGTAGTTCCATCTTATTTTACCCCCTGCCGTTTCTCTTCTCGCCCACTTATTATTTGATTATAATTTTGGAATCTTAAGTCGCGGGAAGGCAGGAGAGTCTCGGCACTGACAGTCAAGTGAAAGAACAAGCGAGAAGCAACAAGCGGTTTTTTCTTTTGCGGTCTGACTCTGGTGACACAGACGAACCTTGAAAGATGCCGAGTAATTTGAAATATATTTATTATTACGCTAATGTGACGAGATTGTAATTCTTATTGACGGATACGAAGGAGAAGTTACTTTATTCCTCTAACTTAAAATTGGATAATATAATTGCCGGTTTTCTATACGGCTCGAGTGACGTATAATTAATTGCATCGACATCGACTGTCTATGCATTCGTGAAAAGGAAAAGAAAAAAAAAAATTAATCGCTTCATACATTGGAGCGGGCGCGCGCGCGCCCGGGTGTGCATTACTTGTAACGTCTTTGGCTGTTTAATTGTGTTTATACGGATTCCAAGCATATGCAACGTGAAAAAAACAAACAAAAACAAAAACAAAACAAAAAAAAATATATATATATATCTCATTCAAACGTAAAGAAAATTGCAAAACTGTTTATATTGATTTACTATTGAATGTAGTAACAAATTTACTTTACTATAAGCGCCTAACTATTGACACATATTGACTTTTGTACATTGATTTTTAATTACCAATTCTTAAAGTGAAATAAATCGGCTTTGTAAATTAGCTTTTTCCGGTGTTTGTTATTTCGAAAATAAATCAATGAGATACGTAGATAGTTGCCGATCCCAGTCGAAAGTTAGTTTTTTTTTTTTTTTTTTGCGTTTTTCTTCTCAAATTCGTGAACATATAATTAATTAAAAAATGTTATTACGATAGAATATCATTCAATGGTGCGCGGCACAATCTGCTGAAAACTTAATAATATATCGATATTTACCAAAGCTTTCCGACGATTTGACATTATGATTATCGGGATTATTACAACTGTTTTATTCATTATTTCGTTATTATATGTTGTTAATAATTTTTACGGAGAAATCGATTCGATTCGCCATAAAGTCTGAAATAACTGCATTTACACAAATTCTACTTTTACATTGTTATTGCGCATATTAATCACGTATAAAGCATAGTCTTGGATAATCAATTTTCATAATTGCTACATATTTGAAAGAGACGTGTTTTTATGCTCTTATTGATCATTTGAAGTTAAAAGGAAAACGTAATTATTGCCTATATTAATGATTTTGAAATATATATGTATATATATGTATATATATTTATGTGTGTGTGTGTGTGTGTGTGTGTGTGTGTGTGTGTGTGTGTGTGTGCGCGTGTGCGTGTGCGTGTGCGTGTGCGTGCGTGCGTGCGTGCGTGCGTGCGTGCGTGTGTAAATCAAGGAAACCCTTTCATTAATTTGATAAAAAAATACTGTCGTAAGCATGCGACGCATCGGTCAAGCAAAGCCAATTATGAAAAATCTTTCAAAGACTTCGCAAAGTTTCATATTTTAACACATGTTTATTTAAACACGAGTTGGTGCTTATGTCTTCGTGATTATGTAAACTCGTTGTAATACTCCAAGAAAAACTCAGAAAAACACAGAAGCAGATTAACGAACTTTAAATTGCATGTACGTGCTGGCTTACAGCACCGCGTGCATGTTTGCTTAACGATTTTTCTTTCGCAGGCAAGAATATCGTTCGCTCGCTAATTCTATGCACGATCGTGATAACAACGTCGCGCTTATCGCCGGCTTATGCGCAGACGTTTAACTTAATGAAGGAAATCAACGTGAATGCCTTCGTGAATTGCGAGCACGTGCAACAATTATTCAGCCTGGATCGTTCAATGTTCGATTTGGGCTCGGTGCTGCACAAGTGCTGGCACCATGGAACCACGCTCGACGAAATTAACGGCGGACTCGAATCAAAAGTCAATCGTCCCGACATCGAGAATTATGAATTCCAAGATCTGCACTTGCCTTGCGATGAGGTTTTCAGGGCGAACCTAACGAGGCTTAGTACCAGTCTGTTGCAGGATTTTATTGGCTGCCGAGGCTCCGAGGCACTTGCAATTCCTAGTCGAAAAAGCATTGAAAGCCGATTCGGAGATATTGTCGAGGTCTATCAGAATGGTAGGTTTCGACGGGAGAATTCGCTTGGGTTTGAGTAATTGAGCGCTGATTTGAAAATTTCATTATAATGATATTCACCATAATCCTACGTTACAACATTTAATATAAAACCTATTATTGACGAATTAACCAACTCGAGTTAAAACTAAAACTTCATAAAAATTGATGTAATTAATTTTCATTTTTTTTTCTTTTATTTTCATATTCTTTATATATTATAAATACATCGACTTTGTCGTTAAATGGTTTAATTTAATATATATATATATATATATATATATATATATATATAAAAGAAGGAATTTTCTATCGACAAGAATACGATTGGACCTTGAACGATGAAAGTATTTAAAAATATTCTTCTTTCTTTATTAGACGCGAAGAAAAATTCAATTCTTAAAAGTATCGACTTGAACGGTGATTCATATTTTTTCAACTACTTGTTTAGTAAAACTGAAAATAAGTAGGTTTTTTTAATCAGTCGTATAATACATAGAGCTTTTAGTCTTAAATAGCTTTGTTGAAAATTCTTTTCATACACAATGCCAAGAATCAAGTATAAAGCATAAAGCTAAGTTTTATGTTTAAGTCGATCATTGATTAAACGTAAAACTTTCCAGCATCTCATCAATTTAATAACCAGTATGAAGTAAACAATTCAAGAAAAAAATTGTATATTGATAATGTCAGTTTTCTAATAAAATGTGAGATACGATATTGCTGTTTGTATTATTACTATAACTTATTCTTGTTTAAAAATAAAATCAAAATCAAAAACATAATGAAATAAATGATAAACCTTGTAACATATTAAATAAATATTATAATATTGTTAGGACTTGTCGCAATATTGTGAAACGGACGACTAGTATTTTGAATTAAGCGATTTTTATTCATAATTGCATTGAAACATTTTTATTCGTACGCATATTTGCCCAACAGAGCATCGATAGTTTCAGCCTGAAATACGTGCTTTATGTCTCGTATCTGTGATGGCATAAAATATCTGGTGATATTGTTCATGGATTTAGGCAATATGTCGGTGACGATCGACGAGGGGACGCTGGTAAGTTGTGCCAACTTCTCAAAGAGAGTCAGCTCCCTTTGTCTACAATACGGCTTAACGGAAGACCAATGGTCAAGGGGATTTCTCCGGTATAACTATCCGGACAAATGGGTTGTAGAGGAGAGCGTCCATGAGATGAGCTTGACGTGCGATCAGGTGTTCAGGACTAAATTGTATCTGACAGTGTACGAAGAGCCGACGGAGATGTTCATCAAGTGCCAAAAGTCCATGTCAATTGAGCCAGAAGTTCGTGATGTCTTTGAGAAAAAATATGCTCAAGAACTGCAGAAGTTGAGAGGTGAAACGATATGTTTTAATTGTTGCTGTAGATTGTTAAGAACTGCTAATTTTTATTCCTAATCAAAGTATACCATTACAATTATTGTTTCGAAGACAAGTACTTGTCGTTGAGAATCTTAATGATCCGATGAAGCATTTGTTTGAAATGATAAAATGAAATATTTATACAATATTTGCTATAAAAATAATATATTATATTCATATCATTTTTTATTTATACCGGCATAAGGTAATATACATTTGGAAATTCGATATACGTAGAAAACATCTCTATTACATATAGTATAGCAAACAATTTTTACATTATTTAATTATATTATATATATATATATATATATATATATATATATATATATATATTCACTAGAGTGATAAAAATTTAATTTTTTTTTTGTTTTTTTGTTTTTTTGTTTCGTTTAAACGAATAAATATAAAAGTTTAAGAATAAAAGAATTAAATTACTAAATTTAAATCTTTTATGATGATTCATCATGGTATTAAATGACAAAAGGAGTTTTTATTATCTATTTTTAAAATTTTCAACAAAGAATAATCATTTTCAGATATATTTGTATAATAGTTTAGTAATAATGGTCGTACACATACTTTAGTAATTATAAACATTGTATATGACAATCAGAGATGCTTTACACGCACACTCGTTTAAATACATCAGCCAACAATTTTTCTTCTTTTTTTTTATATATATATAATTATTAATGCACCAGAGCAATCGCCAGAATAGCGGAATAATTAATATTCCTATTTTTTTTAGCAAATAATATTACGAATTCTTTCTCACGAATCTTAAAGTATAGAACTTTAAATACGATGTCGTTAAATATTTAATATCAAATTTCTATAAGTATATCAAGTATCTTGAAATGATAATGGAATTATATTAATAAGTATACTTGCGTTATCCCCAGAGCAAATCAGTCCGGACGAGCCTGGCGTCGACCTGAGAGGCTTCGTCAGCTGCCGGCACCTGCAGCCGGTGTCGATTGGCGGTGTCGAGATGTCGGCGTCTCAAAAGGCGACCAACGTCTGTCGCGCAGTGGGCCTCACCTACGAGGAGCTGCAGAACGGAACGACGTGGAGAGCCGATATTACGAGAGATGAGGGGTCAAAGGGTCGTGAACTCGTCAAGCTCTACCTCGACTGCGACAGTGTCTTCGACGAGGGCCTAAGGAGCTTCACGAGCGCCCTCCTCAACGACTACGAATCCTGCAGGGCTGCCGACAAAGTGTCCCTTCAGGGTAGAAGAGTCCTATGGAGGAGATTCTCCCAAATCTTCGAACTCTTTGCCAGTAAGTTATTGGCACCTCGTTAATCATAAGGATCTGCCTAATTGTTTCATCAAAATGTCTCCACTCGTATGAGGGACGAGACAGAAGAGACGATACATATTCAAATAAATATATAGATAGAAGAAATAGATAGATAGAAAAATACATTGAATTGGATTAAATATAAGAGTCTATTAGTTACAATTACATGTGTCTGTAAATATCCTGGTATCGTAAATTTTAGCTATCAATTTTACATAATATATAAAAAAAATACATATATACATATATATATATATATATATATATACATATGCAGAAATCTTAAATTACACTTACAATTTATATGCTGACTACTGCTTCGAGCGCTAAAAATTTAGCGCACGAACGAATAAAGTAATATTTAATATATTTAAGTCGTGCATTTTTCAATAATTCATATACGATACTTAAAATATTTAATACTGCGTTTTATTTACAATGTCATGAAAATGCAAATATTTTGCCACTGGAATACGATGCATGTGTAGTGTAAGATTTTATTTATATTGGATATAGCTTTGAAAGAAGAATGCTTAAAATAAAAAAAATACTATATATACATATATATATATATAGATTATATAAAATGCCTGAATTATGGGAAGAGTTGAAAGAAAAAAACGAGAGTTCGATTATCTCTTTGAATGACAGAAAAGGCACGTGACAGCACAAGAATCTCAATAACATAACGGTATCCTAGCGAATAGCCTCGCATATGATTTTTATGACGGACATTTTAACGAGATAAGCTTAAGAGGAATCAAAGCCTTAATGCTTGCGATACTGTGCGGCACAGCTGCCCCGACAAAACTGTTGACGAATAATTGCACAAGTATTAGCAAGGTTATAAGTAAATACGGCTATGGCATCCTTTACAGCGGGACGAGTGGTGAAAGTCGCCAAGCACTCGGATCAATTGGTGCGCTGCACCGACTTCAAGGACGAACTCGTGGATCTCTGCCGTAGACGGGGCTCGAGCCTGGCCCAGGAGCTCCGTGGTTTCGGGAGCCTCGCCCGAAGCTTCGGCGACAAATGGCTAAACACCGAGGAGCTCGACAAGCTCTACCTCAGCTGCGAGGAGTTGCTCGACGAGGCGCATGCGCGATACGTGCAGCGGCTACCTATCGATCAGTACATGCAGTGCAGGTGGATCGAGGGACTGTCAGACCCGAGAAAGGCCCTCATCGACAAGAGCATCGCCAGGCTTTACGAGCGCAAGCATGGACAAAACGCGACGAGATATAAGGGAGACGCTGATGTTGAGATATCGTCGGTTATATTGTTCGATCAGGCTGAGGATCGCGCAAGACCTTAGTTTCGTTGCTGGCACTGGGCTATTATTAATAATAATGTCGGAGAGGCGAATTGAGCATAGTTGACGCCGAGATATGCCGCTCTAGTGGTGGAATTATGTACACGATCGTTCGATCAATAAAGCCAATATGGCCAATACAGATTGGAAAATTCAACGTCCGATTATCGTAGACGACTTTTTCTCTTTTTTTCTTTTACAAAATTCAATATTACGAAATATCTCTTATTATATTTTTTCATACTTTGGATTTGTTAAATGTTGCCGAGTGCTTTGATATTCAAACTGTCGATTACAAACAATTTGCTTAAATACGCATTTAAAATCACGTGACGAGCCTTGATTAACGAAAGTTTTTAAACAATACACAGCACAAATAGATAGTAAATTGCATGAAAATGCAATGAAAATATTTTTGATTTAATTACACAGATTAGCTTTATTTATTGATTTTATATAACAAGTTGCCGGTTTATAAATATTTTGATATTAACTACCGTTTCTTTCCTCTTTTTTTTTTTCTTTTTTTTTTTTATTGTTGTTGAAAAACCGAATCTACGATGCAATAATTTTACGTAAACAATTATATATCCTATCGCATTCGTGCATCAAATAATTTTTATGTAATACTCCTACTGCAACTAATAAAATCTCGTTTGTTATTTGACTTAATTCATCATTATTATATCATGGTTTATCATCTTTTCACTAAAATCATTCATTTTTAAAGCCATTAGATACATTTATTATTAATATTGATAAAACTATAAGATAATATTTATAAAGAGTGCGAGCGAATACATTATAATTATAATTTTTATGTATTAATATTATTTGTACAACGAAAATATCACATCAGTGCTCGAATATTTTATATAAGAAATCATGAAACTTATCAGTATTAATGAGTTTTACAAATACATGACTATTCGTAATTATCACATAATAATTAATTTCCGATATTCCAAAGAAAATGATTTGCAACAACGTTTTGTTTATCAATTAACCTATCGATATAACAAACGATTCGATAAAATTAGCGTAAAAATACCGTTGAAGTTATATAAAATTAATTATCAAGTGCTATATTCATCTTAAATTATAATTGCAATTCATATGTAAAATCATGATTTTACTAACAATGCTTTGCAATAATAAATAATAACAATAACAATAACAGAAACAATAACAATAACAATAACAATAATAATAACAACGGCAATAACTGTACGATTATTTATTAATATTCATTGTGGCTTATTGTAAGCAAATAAAATGTATATATATATATATATATCTGTTTTGCCAATAAATATATATTCGTTGAATAAGTGAGTGTTGAATTTGTTGAAAAATAAGCCCTATTGCGAATTCTACATTATATATTATGAATTGACAAAAATATTCAAGATATAAAAAAATTGAAAAATCCGTGTTAAATTCGTTACTGTAGAATACATGCTTATGTAGGCGTATACTCATGCCGGCATACGCACACACGCACACATACGCATGCACACAACAAACAAACAAACATCGACATTTTTATTTTTATTGTTCAAAGTTTAATAGGACTTCAAATCGTTCGTTGTAATGTAACAATGACAGGAACTTTTTAAGAGAATAAGAGTTTCGTGAAAAGTACACGTAGCGCGAGTTTCGTTTGGGTTTATAATTATATAAAAATATATGTAATTGTATTTTATATGTAGATCTATAATTAGCCATAATTCATTACAGTTAACATGTTATATGTAATGTATTTAATTACAAAATCTAACCAAAAATTTCAATTCTTTTTACTTGAAACGTATATAATATTCTTCAGAATTGAAATATTGTATTTAAAAATAGTTACATTTATTACGATTATTGTCATGATCGTTTAATAATAATTTCATTAAATAACATTGTACATTAATTTTTACGTCAAAAAAAAAAAAAAAAAAAAAAAAAAAAAAAAAAAAATGATGGGAAAAAAAGACATTTCAAGATAATTCACAATCGTTATGTTGTAATATTTATTTATGTGTTTGAGAATATCCGTGCATCTAATTTACGCGAATCAAATGTAATATTTATACTGCGTGTGTAATATTAAAGAATGAATAATGCAAAGAAAATCTAAATATTTATCTAAATGTTTACATATTATAATTAATCCGCTGCGCAAAGAAAGATAAATTTGTCTGTCTCACGAGATAGCGTGACCTCCAAAAAACCGGACCTACATCGTAAAAAACTTGACCAAAACAAAAACGAAGGGGCTACCTGTTATTTTAACATTGAATTAAAATAGTCTCTCACTCTCTCTCTCTCTCTCTCTCTCTCTCTCTCTCTCTTTTAGTATCTTCCAAAGTGAACTACTATCTTCAATAAAATTACACGCTGGAGTTTAACATTTAACGAATGATAATTTTAACGAATATTAATTTAAGGCATTCGTCCGTCTTCTTTACATAAGTGCATACTCGATGTTCATTCCTACGATAATAACAAAATGAATGTCTAAAGAGTGCATGGGTGAAATATAGTCAAAGACGTTCTGATTACTTTCTTACGTAACAGTGATCTTCAAATTCAGAGAAATCATCGGCCATTGATTAAAATTAAATACAAGGCGCTTGGACTTCCAATAAAATCAATAAAATGTAAACACTCGGATAGTATGAAATAATGCTCCTCGTCGGCATGTATTAGAAAACTATCGTTTATTTGCATTGCGCGAGCGTGACAAATGTAAAAAGAAACAAGAAGAAACAAAAGTTCCAACGTCCAGCAGATCGGACATGACGCAGTCTACAGGAATTCCCAAGCATCGCGTTCTCACGTACTCACGTGCTGTCGCCTAACAATGCGAAATTCTACGAGACGAGTCATGGTCACCATCACAAGTCCGAGTCCTACTATTTCGATCCTCTTCTTTGCCTTCGTGAGGCGATAATAATGGCATCTTCATCGGTATTCCGTGGCTAAAGATAGATGTTGGGAAAAAGGTGAACGATTGCAATTTGTTCTTATTCAAGTTACAACGTCTTTACGTTCGTCATGATTTGACCTTCGCTATGTTTTTCCAAGCCACGCGTTAAGGTGTAAAAAAACTTATGTGAATGTGACTATCGAACGAGGGTTATCGTACAAATAAATTTTCTGCTTCATATTTATTGTATCTCGTATCTGATCCCATTACTCACGCAGAGTTAAAGAGAAATTAAGAATAATTTAATTATTATTTATATTTATAATTCTATTTATAATTAAACAATATAAACAGAGGGTAAGAAATATTAATATTCGGATGCGTAAGACTGAATTCTGTCTATTACTGTTATTTCATTATTATATAATGACATTGATCACGTTAATTTAAATGAATTTATAATTCATTCGATAACCGAACTTTGCGAACGACCAGATTTTACCATACAAATAAGATTAAAAGATTCCTTCGCGAAATTAAAAAATTCATACCCAAATAATTAAAACTTTATCATCAATAGCCAAAAAAACCGTTCATAATGTAATTAAAAGATATGTAGTTTCTGACATTGTAAGCTGTAACATTGTAAGATGCTAACGTATTATACAATCTCATACACGATAATAATAACAATGTTATACACTATCGCTGTTCGTTGGCATATCTCCTTACTCCCGATAATTTATTAGTTATTTGTTAATCCTATCATTAAACGATAAAAGTAAGAATCTCGACTCCAATCAAATTACCGACCGTTACTTTGCCACAGTTATTGAGATTCCGCTGCAATTGTCATGTACGAATTGCAGGAATTTGAGAAAAGTGTAAAAGGAAAGCGATGTGGAGGTAAATTGTAACTATTCAAATGTGTGATTAAACATTAACTTTATACAAATAAAACCCAATCATTTGATAAGCAGCTTATATAAGCAGTTAATATTTATTATGAATTACAATATAATACATTATATCTATTTATTATTCATTTCAATGTTCACTTTTATCGAGTTAAGCAAAACTGCTTGTAAAAGCTAATATCATATTATTGTACATTATACCGTAGAATTTACTTTAAATTATTCCATATTATCAATAGTAATGAAAATATTTTAATTCCATGATATAAAACGATGACAATGTTAATTAAGAATAATTAAAATAAGATTGGAATCGTTGTTTTTTAGTAATTACGCACATTCATAATTCACATATTAGAGACGAGTTTACATAGATAGTTTTTACATGTACTATTAAATATTTCATAATAAACAATAATAATAATGGATTACAGAATGATTTTGCATAATTTAAAACCAATTAATAACTTCAGTATATTGAAATTGATTGACCGATTCAAAATGCGCATGTTTTTATTAGTTATCAATTTTATAAGAGCGTGGTGAATTTTTTTTTTTTACTATCAGGTCTGATATTCTGACAAAGTTTTTATTAGTGAAAATTATATACTTTCGTTTTTATCCTTCGTGCAAGACAATTTAATTGATATTATTAATACAATTTAATTAAGAAAATTTCTATTTTTATTTCATGATGAAGGATGTTTAACTCATATACGTTTAATTGTTAATTTCTTTTCATTTTTTTTTTTTGCAGCAAAATAGAAGTATTGAATTTTTGCCGAAAAATAATTTAATAAAAAGCTTACGAAAAAATACGAATATTTCATTAATAATTAATTTATCGCCTTTTTCATTAACAGTCATGAATTTTTCAATAAGATTTTAAATTTCGACAAAGAGTTTATTAGAATTACAACAACAACAACAAAAATCCTATTTGAATTGTTAAGAATGATTTCGATTATGTCGTTAAGAGAAAACTTATTAGAATTACAATAATTCCTATACCACAGATGGAAGAAATATAAATAAATTATTAAAGTAACATCTGTTAAAATACAATACACTTTATAATGACGAAAGCATAATAAGTTAATTGCCGCGGTTGAATTTCTAGGTGTAAAGGACGTATTGTTTTAATAATTAAAGAAAATAATATTAAAAAAAAAAAAAAATTGATTAAATTTGTTATATTCATTAAATTAAATACTTAAATTATTGAATAATTGGCGTAAAGAAAAACAATAATGAAATATAGAGTACATTGAAAATTTCTCATTTTTTCATACAGAATCATCCTAAAGCTTTAGATAATTTGGATGTATTAGATGTATTAGATAATTGTGCAATCGCATTCACAACTATTATTCATTGGATTGATGCTGTTGTTATTGTATTTTTTATTATTATTATTATTATTATTATTGTTGTTGTTATTATTATTATTATTAGTATTATTATTAACAGCTAAATTTAGAGCAAATATTTTTAAATACCTCGTTATTATTTAGATAACTAAGTACAGTAAATCTCATACCGTTTCAACTCATAAAATAAATTACCAATAATTGACAATAACATTAAGGTTAAATTGATAAATTGGAATTTTCTTTTTATAGATTAATAACATTGTTGAGTCATATTATGGTAATTTACGCGAACCCAAGTGTAGATAAAAAATATGTATCATTGAAAAATATATATACATTTTATAACGATTAATTCTCGTAACAATGTCGCTTACAAAGTAGCGCGACTAACATATTTATTTCGTCACGCTTGGTATCCATTTGCATCAACGGCGACGGTGAAATAATTTTCAAATTGTTGTCCAGTTAAAGGGAAACGTCCGTAGCTCATCGTCACCTCTCTCTCTCTCTCTCTCACACACACACACACACACACACACACTCTCTCTCTCTCTCTCTATCTATCTCTCTATCTCTCTCGCTCTCTCTTTATTGCACTTGTTGAAAATTAAATAACTCTACACCGAAGGGCTTGGACAGTATCATTAAGTGACGCCAGTGACTGCGTTAAAATTCACTCTTAGAGAACTTTCATTCACGACTCGATAAACATGAAGAGAATTTGCTTCACTCACCGTATCATTTTCTTTGTTATTTAGTATCCGTTATCTCATCTCGACTTCCTATTTGTTTATCTTTTGTGTAATTTCACCGAATTAATATTCCAACCATACTATATCCTACGAACTTCGCTTTCGAAAAAAGAACCGACAATCTGGTATGCATACACGCATTCACACACGCAATCGAGCACACACACACACACACACGCACACACGCACACGCCCACAAATACATTCTTACTGCATATATTTTTATACTGCATAATAAGATGTATATATAAATATATATATGTATAAAATGAGATTTTAGTTTTATTCCAGAACAATTTGCATTGAATTAATTTTTAATTGTAAATAGCACTCATACTTATAACGTTTATAATTGTATTATGCAGTTGTCATTACAATACTATTTTTATTGTTGCACAATAAAACTAACTTAACGGCTATGACATTTATACTATCGAATAGTCGGTTTATCGCTCTGACTTAACGTAACGATCATCACGTAATTACTCCACAAATATTTGCATTTAATTGCACATCATAATGAAAGCGACTAATACCATTTTAGACGAAACAAACGTTCGCGTGATATTTTTGTTTATAGCATAAATGTAATGTAATAAAAATTAACGTCAATAAGCTTAAAGGTCGTTTTAAACGAATTCATATGTTTCTTTATGAACAATATTATTGTATTTTACATCCTAATCATTAATACCAAATTCTAATTTAATTTTATAGCCTACAATACACCTTTTTAAACTACTCATTATTAAACATTGAACTATTTTATTATACTTGTTACGTGTACTTAATTTACCTGATTTATATATGATATAATTTTTATGAATATAAAAGTCCATACTAGCGCTTTGTCTGAAATATTACTCATAAATGTTAGCAGAATATGAAATATATTATTATGAATTTTATCAATAAATAAGACATTTTATTTATTTATTATCTCGTTGAAATTTAACAAATATCAAACACAATACAGATATCAGGCATTGATTCCTATTTTTAATTTTAGTTTTTTTTTTCTTTTTTCTCTCATTTCTCAATATATTTTTTAACAATGCCATTCATATCAACAATATCATATTGCAGACAGGTTCGCGCAATCACACATTATTATATACATACACATATACAGGGGAGTCAGAAAATATAATTTATTTAAAGATTAAAAATTTTTTAAAATCGTGAGATTATAGAATTTTCTCATACTACGTTCAGCATAAATGTCATAGTAGGCATAATTGGTTCCAATTAAAAAAAAAAAAAAAAAAAAAAAAAAAAAAAAAAAAAACACAAGAACTTAAAAGGCTTTTTATTTTAATGGCATAATGTTATCCCATCAGTCAAATTTTTATTTGTTTCTTTAATTTATGGCTGCTTCAAAAATAATTGGTTCCAATTAAACATTTCTCCCATAAAAAAAAAAAAAAAAAAAAAAACCAAATAAAATAGTAATTTAGTCAAATTTATAAAACATATAAATATTGTAATTGAGAGCTGCCCATAGGAATTTATTGGGTTAGCGTTAGTAGAGCATAAAGTATATTTAAAATACTCTTTCACGTATTCAATTGTAGAAATGGAAAAGACCTGCTATTGACCTGCTATTAGCGCTGAAAGTTAGTTGGATATGTATAAAGCTAAATGAAAATATAACTACTTTTGCTTATAAATTTTGGACCCCAACCGCAGGATCACTGAGATCGGCTTTGGAAGATGGAAGGCTTCGCCCGATTGCTATGAAGGCGCCAAAGATGGTTGAGCGTCATCGTCGAGAGCGCTGTAGGAGCACAACCAAGGCAATAATCGCTGTGATGCTGACGAGTCTCGTGGCGATGTTCTGCTACGCCGTCTGGAGGATACGCGACATCGAGAGTCCGTCGGAGATGATCGAATACGAGTATCGCATAATCGGTACGGGCGAGATCGTCGTTACCGACCGCGAGGCGAAAGAATCATGAGACGTTATGATGGTTGGCCGCTTTTGATCAGCCATCATGGCGAGACTGGAGACTGGACGAGTGACCACGAACAATAGCGAACCTGAGCTCCAAGCAGAATGAAGAAAGATCGTTAAAGCTTCGGGTTATATTTATACGGTCGATTCGTCGTACGGGGACGGCCGGTACATGATTTTCTTCAGGATCACATTTACACAATAAAATAGAGCTTTCACCTTTCTTATAAATATTTAAGTATATTTTATATAATCCCACGCTATTAACATATAATGTGCTTTTATTAATCTTGGTGTTATGATTCTTTGTTTAAATATTTTTAAAATATTTGCGATTAATCACTGCGATATGCCGATGTTTCATAACGCAATTCTATCGAGTAAAATTAAAAACAAAACAAAAAATAAATAAATAAATTGAAAAAAAAAACAATAAACGACTAAATAAAATTTCAACCCCGTTTCTCATGCGTACGTTCTATTAATTTTATTTACGTGTTACATCATCACTCATCGTGATTACAGAATAAACAGTATGTTCAACCGTTTAAAAGAAATTTCACCGTTCAATTAGGATATTTTAACGCTCCATTTAGATTAATAATATTTCAATGCTGGCAGCTAATCTTATTACGCCTAAATCTTATTACGGGATACGTAAAAGCTCGATTATCAGACGATCAATTACTCTCAGATATTCACCTGGACAATCACAAGCGAAATTGAACATCACGCATACACCCACAAATATAATAATAATAATAATTATAAACAATTAAAAAAAAAAAAGAAAATTATTCCTTGATTGAAAAGTTAATGGCTTAGAACGAGCATATTATAGATATAATAATATTAATAATGGAAGATGCGAATAATATAAATGTGTTACAGAACCATTCATGTGTAAATTTTTATTATTGACATATTCATTATTGTTTATGAACTCAATAACTCCTTAATTATCTTTTCATAATTTCTATAATAATTTAAAGTATTCTAAAGATTGACATTCGAATTTAATTACATATTATAGGAAAATATATAAAAAATTCTCCACTCTCACAATACTCCAACTACATTTAAAGTGACATGTACATGCATATATATAGTATTAATCTCTTTTAATGATAAAAATAAATATTCAGAGCTACTAACGTGTTTTAAATATTGAAATAATTTTATTAATAACCAGTATTGTCGGCACGTTTTTAATAATATTCTGAAAATGAAATTAATTTTTTTATTATTTACTCGATTAAAGTTACATATACATCTCGATAGGTTGTTAAATTCATGGGAAAAAAACTACAATACTTTAGTCATATACGGCTAATAAACAATAGGACTAAGTAATACCACTGCAAGCTGATATTAATAGCAGATTTAATACAATAATTATTAAAATAACTCGATTGCATTATGCTTTAGCTGAAACACGAGATAAGAATAAATGCAGAGAGAAAGGGTAAACAATAAGAGTGTGCAATAATAAAAGAGAATCCGATACAAGTATAAGTAATATTTAATAATATGTTTAGATACGTATAAGCGAGATGGGGGGGGGGGAGCAGAAAAGTCGCGAGGTACTAGCGATGTAGAAAAAAATGTAGCACAAGTGTAATTGAAGAGAAAAACAAAAACCAAGAGCGCCTGCCGCATTAGCAACTACTGATAGTGAGAGCGGAGATGAGTATGGAAAAAAAGCTCCGTATCTCTAGAGCAACGTATCGCAGTGTCGAGCACTCAAAGGGGAAGCGTACTCCCGGTCCCGATAAAAGGTCAGTATAGCAACAAGATCAAGCCGAAGGAGGTTGTGCAACATGAGCCAGCTGTACGAAAAGAAGTGCGACTGTAAGTTTTCAATTGATAGCTTTTTCTCTTGCCGATTAGTTATAGCGGAGGTGCGCGAGCTTGGCTTTTTTCATTGTTGGGCTGATTTGTTGTGCGAGCAATATTTTCGCGTAGCTTGACGTGTCGCTAACACATTGATCGAACTTCGGTCGGGCAAAAACTTTCTTAGTCATTCGTTTCAAGGATATCTTTGCGTGTAATTCCTGTCTCATCTCGGGCAATCTAAGAGCAACTACGAACATGCACGCCGCCACCCCCCCCCCCCCACCCCCCACCCCCCCCCCCCCCCCGCCCCGGTACGCCCCCTCCCCCAGCCGCCACAATGCGTTTGATCCGCCATCCGTCTTTTATCCTCGACGACATCCGGCTACGAGCAACTACGAACATGCCCGCCGCCACCCCCCCCCCCAATCCCCCAATCCCCCATCCCCCACCCCCACCCACCCACGCCCTACCCCTGCCCCTACCAACCCAGTGACACATAACACATAATTGTAGAATATTTTGCTGCGAATATAAGTGATTGGAGAAATGTAATTTACATCTTATGATGGAGGGAGATTTCGTTTCTTCTCTTAAAGCATACGTTCTCCTTCGTTCTTTGAGCTTGTACATTTTTTCCAAATGTATATTTTTATTAGCACAAGTGCAATTAAAATTAATGCTTACAAATTAAAAAAAGAAAAATTATTGTTTTATTTTTAATTTATAATTAATCTCTATACATATATTAAGCATTTGTTCTTCTACTGCAGAGCATATATGTATACGTTCGAATTATAATGTATTCTTATCGTTGTAACATTTAATGATTGATAACGATATTTTTACAAATGTAATTAGAGTCGGAATTAATTTTTAATATTATAAAGGCTTACCGAATCGTAGCGAAAATTGCGGCGATAGACACAGTCGTCCCTATCAATTGCTTAACGCTTGCTGTCGTATTATTGATTTGTGACTTTTCATTAATGAATTCAATTTCCCTTATAATATCAAAATCAATTCACACTCGTATAATGAGTAGTTAATATTAAAAATGAAATAAAAGAAAAAAGAAAATGGGAAAATAATGTTATTTTACAATAAAATAAATTAAAATAATTAACTCTTATGGTGAAATTTATTATTTAAATTTTAATACAACGAACAAATATTTCATAAATAATTTCAGGTCGCCAATACGATCAATCGGCTGATAATCGTTCAGCCCCAATAAAAATGGATGTCGCAGCGTGTAAAGATAATCAACTGAATAGCACAAGTCACATTATCTTCCGTGCACTCCGTTTCATCGGTTATGTCATCGTCTTAATACTTTCAAGCTACCTTTTATGGCGTATTCTAATCACCGAATTTAATATCCAGACGATTGATATATTCTTCAATTATACCAAGAAATTTGAAAGTAGCAATTATTATAATCGCAGAGTGGCACGATCGATTAAGGCCAGCGCTAATCCAGCCGAGCACAATTCCTTTGATTATGGCGGAAAGGAATTGGCTAGGGGAGCAATGCTGACGTCAAAAAATGAGAATCCACAATTATGGAAAAAGAAGCCTGCCCCGAAGGATAATTTTGACGAGCTGATGAAAGGATTATTCGATAAAATCTGGGAAATGCATAACGACACCGACAGATCGCACTTCGACAATAATATGAAGGCAGTGTTTCAAGCTTGGTTTCCGGTTTTTGACGCCCTATTGCCCCATGAATTCATGGAAAGCGAATCAATTAGGAATATCAGATCAGCCGATGAGATTGGCAATGGCTTTAGGCAAAGAGTCGATCGTAAGAAACGAGAAGTTGATAAACGCGATAAATCCCACATGAGGCAACATAAAAACTCCATTCAAATTACTCAGAAGCTTAATGAGGAGCTATTGAGAAGGAAAGCGGCACGTCAAGGTCGATCGGTGGAAAATAATAGTGAAGAAACATTGGAGTCTGTGGAAGAGCGAAATCACCGGGTTAGGTATATTGTGGATAAAAATAAGAAATTATCAAATGAGCCAAGTAAGCGATATTTAATCAAACGGAGAAACAACGGGGAGTCGGCTGAATCTTCAGAGTTTGAGAGGAAAATGAAGAATAAAGCTAATAGTCGCTTAATGTACCAAATAGACTCACCGAATCAAAATGATTATACAAATGAGGTGGCATTTGGATAATGAATATTGGTCGATAACGATGACGAGAACGCGAATGTACGAAAAATGTTGTACATTATCGAAATTCATTGTATGATTGATCTATTTGTCATTATAAGTAACTTAAAGGGTGATGAATTTACAATAAGAGAATTACGTCATAATTTTCGCATACCATTAATTTTGTAATTAATAAAATTATTAATATCATATATAGATTTTTTATTGCTGGAATTTTGTTAGCGTTTGTACAAATATTCGCAAGAGTATTGTTAACTTAATTTGCTTAAACGTTTGCTACAAAAGACAAATTTCCTTCCGAAGGAAAAGCACTTAACGGTAATTAAGAATTTTCATTTACTTCCAGCCATTAGACAATCATTACATTAGATACATATTTTTATTTATTTTTTTTTTTTTTAACCTAATATCTTTAAATTTTGACACGCGACTGTATTTTAGCGATATTCGCGATTAACCATCATCTGCGCAAATAAATTTTCAAGTAATCTCATTTGGTTTGATATTATTATGATGTAGCTAGCGATACACCCTGTTCATCTAGGTGATATAATATTTTAGAAAATCGATCCAATTAACAAGCCTGTGACACCTCGTAATTAGTATAAGATTACGATCAGAGGGATTGACTAATTAAAAATTGTAGCCTATCCTTAAAGTCACAGTCATTTCTTGTAGAAAAATTTCTTCGTCCGAGAGATACGAAAGGACTTCTTATACTATTGCATTTTCATGGTCGATCGATGCGAACTCAATTTATTCGCTTCTCTCCTTTTCGTCAGCGATCGAAGGACGAAGATTACATTGACGCGTCAATCCTTACATTTGCTCGATATGTATTAATAATTGAAAGCATTGACAGGATAATGGCATTTTAATTTTCAACCCTCTTTTCCATGCAATTTCAGAGTGAAAACAACACGATGTGCCTTACGATACGTAAGTAAAGTATATTTAGAGAAGCAACTATTTTCATACGTATCTTATAAATATTTTATGTAATTCAAATGGCTGCTTTGTAGCGTCTTGAAGCTACAAAGCTTTTAAAAAACAGTATGAAATATTTATTTCATGTAAATATTTTTCTTATTGAAACAGAGTTTTGCAAACTGTAAATTATTTATATTTTAGTAAATTTTGAACACTTAATGCTTGGTCATTTGATTTCTTCGATTTTTTACATTCGCTTTTTAAATACCTGAATAATAAAAATTTTTTAAAAAATATATTCATCTCCTTTCATTTATCTATGCAATGATATAATTTACATGTGAATGTAAATTATTCTCTATTTCAAATCATTCATTACCATTTATTAATTAAAAATTAAACAATTTGAAAATATCGAAAGAAATATATATATGTAAAAACAATTTTAATAAATAATGTAACTTTTATATTATTTTTATTAAAATTTTGAAAACTTCATATACCTTCAATCAAATTTTAGGAATGAAATTATTGTATAAATAAAATCTTAAATAAAAAAAAAAAAGTAATGTATTTTAAAATTTTCCTTAATGTATAGTATAATTTTTTAAATATTTTAATATAAATTTCATACAAAGAGATATAAAATAATTGATAATATTAATAATTGGACTTTCATCTAGAAATTCTGTTTATAAATTTTAATATATTAAAATATCAATGTATTAAATGTTAATATACACATGTATGTATATATATATATATATATATATATATATACATGTATATATTGTACAGTTCAGATGGATATTTGATATCGATTATTCTTGAAGTATTGATTTAAATAAAAAAAATTATACTTTTTAATATCATTTTGTTTTTCAATATAAACATATACAATTTGATTTGATTCATATTTTGCATTAGTATTACAAGAAAAAAAAATCTCTCTCGATACTATGAAATTGATCAAAATTTAAATTGTTTTCCTTTCAGTTTCTGATTTTTCGTAGAATATTGACAATACAAACATTATACATATTAAATAGAATGAAGGACACGAGCCAAAATAGCAAAAAGTAATTCTTACCAATTTCGTGATTCAATATGCTTTAATACGTAGAAGTCAATCTAAAATGGAGAAATCGAATTTCTGAAATGTATTATATTCCTTTCTTCTTTCATACTGTATCTAACTTATAATACAAAAGAAAAAGAACTGAAGGCTTGAGGAATTATTTTATCAAAAATTGACTTTATTATAAATAAAATATGGTATAAAATAAAATTTGGTGAATAAGTTATGATTTGTCATCTCTAAGTCACATGTAATATTATCCTTATCAGAAGCGAATTTATTAATTATTTGGTAACTTTCTTCTAGAAGACACTTACAGAAATTATATTTTATCGCATTACAATTAATGTTGCATTTACATTAAACGAAAAGAAACGATAATAGTATAATTTAATATGAAATTTGATTATTTACGTTAATTACGTTATTTATGAATTTACTATTTGATATTTTATTGTTTTTATTCGATTTTATAAGATCAATTAAATTAAAGAAATAATGCGATACGCTTATTAATTATTATAATTAATTATTGAGATAAATGAGATCTATAAATGTTGAAATATTTTAAAGAGAAAATCGTACGTTTTGCGTATAATAATAAGAGTGCGCGCGTGTAAAAATTTTATTTTTAACTAATGATTCTTTCAACTATGCTAGTATTGAAATTAAAATATATTGAACATTTTGTTCATACATTGAACATTGTTATACATTGTACTATCATTTTCGTTTGTATAGATTCCCAATGCTTAAGTGAATCAACAATTATTAATCCTTTCTACATTGTATTATAATCGAATGATTTATAAACTCAAATTACAAAATCGACAGTTTATTTATATATTCGTAAAAGAATAGCAACATCGTTTATGAATATGATTAATAAATTTGACGATTTGAATGGAAAAAACTTATCTCGACATAATAACAATTGAAACGCCGGGCTCGATTGTATTATTAAGATCCTCGTTTCGTAATTAATCATTAACGATCAATAAATCACGTAGCGATCTATTAATTATTAATTTGCGTGCTCTTTAGGCAGTAGGGTGCGGCAGCACCAAAGCAACCATACCCCATAAAATAAGTCAAATCCTACAAACTAACATGAATTTTCCTATTAAGACTCCGTCCAAGCCCTCCCAAAGCAGTATTACGTTTGTGGTTTTGCGCCGAGTGGCCAGCCAAGAGAGCCTCGTCGCGGAAAACGTCCGAACTTTTCACCGATTCGTTCGCACACTTCGTTGCGCCAGTGCATGCAGCGCTAGATAGATTAATGCAATGCGATGATTTCTCTTGTCTGGAACGGGGGACGGGTAAGGGGGAGGCTCTTTTGACCTCTTTCTTTCCCCAACGAAGACTCTGTAATTTACATACCCCTTAGTCGGCGTGTATTTATATCTCTTATCGCAAGATAGGCGGAATACAGTTAAGCGATTGATGTCACGTGATTGGCGAGAAAATTAATGCTCATTATGGATATGAATTCCAAGGGCTGTTAAAATTTTTGGGAACGATCCTTATAAATTGCACTTAATAATAGAGCAATGCCTCGATTTTTATATCTAGATGACAAAAAGAGAAAGAAAAAGCAAAAATAAAAGAAAAAAAAAACAAAACAAAAAATTTTTTTAAATAAATCGATAGTTCGATACAGTGATAAGCTTTTGTCGATATTTATTCACTTAACTTATTGTTTGGTAGTTTTTGTATTTTTGAAATAAGTTTGATGAAATTCTTATAATTAACGGCATCTACTCAAATTTAACAAATGACCATAATTGCATACTCACGGCGGATATCTAGTTCATTAATATTATCATTTTTATTAAAATTTCTTCATTAGCTTATTGGATTGATATTATTGGATTGTCGTGCACGTACATTCCATAATTAATACAATCGTGATGGAAAAAACTATTTCTAGCTTGCAATTTCTCCTCGTCAATACACATCGTTCGATCAGCACATTATCATGGCTAAGTGGTAATGCTGAATACTAATCGATTGTTTTTCTCCTTCCCATATATTTTTGCATTGGGTGCGCCAGCCTATCCCTAATAATTCTCCTATTTTCCCTATAATATTGCCTAGAATGCGTAATATGTTTACATGTATCCTTCATCTCCGGTTCGCGTATGGGTGTGTGCTTATTACTAGGGTCCATTAATTTCATGAGCGTTGCCGCACGCAAAGCGATGACTTTTTATCAAGTTATGATTATAGTTCACATTTGTTTTTCATATTTCTTAGGTCTCTTCGTGTCTGTTTAGAAAAGCGGCATGTCGAGTGCGTTGATAAGCCCTTAAAATTAAATACATTTCCTACTTTACTCGGAAGTATCTTTTACTGAAATATACTTTGACTTGGATATTGTTTAAAATATAATCCTTACTTGTACTTTATAAGTAATTGTTAAATCGTATCTTCCATCTGTGCTAATTGATAATAGCAGGACGAGCCTAAATTTTCTAATTCGAGATGATTTCGAATTGTAATATTCTTTTGACATTTCAAATTATTCCTTATAAACTTGATTATACGTGTCAATTATTGAGTAAATATTAATTTTGATAATATAAATATCTTCATTTTTCTTTATGCCCATTCCAGTATACAATATTTTCCTCGGACGATAAATATCATGAAAAATTTTTTATGCTGCAGTTTGTATTTCGCGAAAATGCAGTTTCCACAATGTCATCGTTAGATTTACACTAACCTTGAGCAATAAAATAGATACAAAATTATTTTGCGTACGTGCGTGCGTGTCATATATAAAAAATATCATAGCTTGAATGAAAACTTTTAATTAATCTTAAGAACTATTTGAAATGATATTGACAGGTATCGATTAATAATTATCGAGATTTTACATATTTTACATACTCATAGTTTGGACAGACTATATTTTAAAATATCGTTAATTGGCTATTTATTGCTCGTTCGATCGAAAAACTAATATCGAGTGACGCTTGGTTTGTGACAAGATTGCATCGAAGAAAGCCTACTGTGTAATTGCGTATGAGCTAATGAGAGTAGCGATTTACCATTTTACTCGAAACTTACAAACGCAAAGTCGTACTTCCTATCGTATCCTACATCAATCCATCAAAGCTAATCCAACGGATAGTCCGCCACTTCTCAAAGTTTATCAGTTCCATTGGAATCGTAATTGTGAATCGAGCTTGGCCGCCGGAGGTGAACAGGCCGAGCAAGCTACGGGCGACGGGGTAAATGAATCGTTGCAACCGATCGCAACCACCGAGCGAAAGAGGGAGGAATAGAGCACGAAGGTGGGGATAGGTGCCGAGGTCTTAAAAGGCCGCGCGATCAAGAGTTCGGGCGCAGTTGGCACTGGAGACCCGCCCCTCCCTCACGTATCCGCCCACAAACACGAAAGCCAGACAGGGTAATCTATAATTGGCGAGGAAGGGTAGAAGGAAATTGTCCCGCGCGGGATGCGAATGGGCAATTGACGTGTGCGCGGGTGAATTCGAGCGTCGAGTGCGAGAGGATGGAGACACGACGATGCAACCGCTTCCGAGGACTCGGGCTCCTGGTGCTGTTTCTGGCATTGGTAACGCCCTGCTGGCCCCTTGCCCTCACCACCTTCGGCAAGTCTAATCCCCAGAACAATAACAACCAGAACAATGAGAACAAGCAACCTGGTGAACGTAAGTCTCGGTATTATTAAAACGGATATTCTGTGCAGTATTGTGGGTGCGAGTGAGAAGGCAATGAAATTTTTATACCACCTGTCATTGGTCAACTAGTACATACTGTACACTATTATTTTTTTAATTTTATCCTCCCTTTTGATTATCTGTAATAATTTGCTTGGTAAGCGAATCGTACTTACGTTCTTCGTCTTTTAATAGTAATTGCCAGCGTTTGTCATTGTCCCTCGACTAATATCAATTCTAATTAATAGAAATACAAATTACATGAAATAATGGGATTTTCTATAGTGCGTATCTTAGTTAATTAGCATCTTGATATGTGAAAAAAAAAGATGAAAAAATAAATTAACTTGCGAATCTTACTTATCCAATACTCCATGACATTCAACAATTTGCTTACAAATACTCATGCATTAAAAATAATAAAAATTGTTTTTTTTTAGTTTTAATATGGATTTTATTTAAATTAAAATCATTTATGCGTATATATTATCGGGTAATTGACTAATTATGAATAATATTAACTAAAGTTTAATAGATATAGCTCATTTATTACATAAAACTTCCAAACAGACAAACGAAAATTATTTTTATTTTACCGGCATTACTAATATCAATAGTTATCAAGGTCAGTACTATGTATTAAAATGATATTTGATGTATTAAAGTGAAAAATAATATAATATTCTTATCTGAGAGACATTTATAAGAAGAAGAAGAAGAAGAAGAAGAAGAAGAAGAAGAAGAAGAAAATAATAATAAAGATAAAATATTTGCAATATTTTATTGACATTTCCTTAGACGCAGTTCATTTATAAAATTATTATCGATTCCAGAAATTCTAAGAATACACACATTTATTTTGAATAATTTAAAATACAAATTAATATTAAAGATATATTTCGAAAATCTAAAAATATGTTTTACATGTACGCACGAAGAAATCTCTAATTATGCTATAAGTAATGAAACATCCAATATTTACGAATAAATCGTTTGTTTTAACAGATACTACGTACGTAATTGTAATAAAAATTGTCTAGATTAAATATAATAATTTTTACCTATTATTGACGTCGTAATATTTATAATTTGAAAAATCATATTTGCTTTTACTGTTTAATGTCGCTTTCTCATTTATAAATATATTACATTCATCCCGAGGGATTTTCTTCATTCATACGTACTTGAATGGTTAAGCATTAAAATCGATCGAAAATTAATATAGAAGTAATGTTATTGTTATTTATTAGTTCAATTAATTAGAATTATTTGAAAAATATATTTGACACATTATATACCAATTTCTTTTAAAAGTATCAACTAATAGAATCAAATTGACAAATATTAATATATATATTTTTTTTTTTTTCATACATAGTTTATAAGAAATTTCATTATTTCATCAACAATACCTTTATAATTTAGACATTTTATTAAATAAAGAATATTCATCGCTATAACGTAGTTTCATCCTTAATAACAAAATTACATTTTTATTTTAATTTATTATTATTTATTATATGCTTGTTTTCATACAAATATTATACCACAAGTTTCCAATATAAAATGAAGAGTAACAAAGTCGCGAACATTTCAAAGTCGTCGCTTCGTAACAGCAATAGCAATCCTACGAACAAAGATTTTGTAAACTTCGCTTCAAACTCACCATACTATAATATCAAATAATAAAACGACAATTTTTCTAAACAAAGTTTCATAATAAAATGCAGTATCGTAAAAATTGCACAATAAACCGGGGAGTTGGGGGTTGGTGGTTGGGGGTTGGGGGAGATGGGGAGAAAAAAGAAAGAATGGCCAGATCGATGCAGTGTGCAGGAAACGTCACAAAGGAACGAGCACATGCAAAGAGATGGACGTTTAGCACTCGTATCGATTTTTCTTTTTTCTTTACTTTTTCCTGCGCGCACACACACCTTAGGTGCTCCTTCCTCGAATTACTTATCTATCCGAAGCTTCCATAACTGTACCTTTGGTTTTAACAAACATATGATAGAGCTGCTACTTACTCTTTTTATCAGAGAGACTTCAATGAATGTAGTTTGCAAATAGATGATCGAAATCATTAAGCGCGTCTTCTGTATATTTTTATACTAATTTTGATTATGAAAGGAACTTATTTTGTTGCTAAAGTTGTCAATTTGAATTTGTAATATTAATTTATACATTTTTAATAGGACAGTTAAAATGATAAAATGATAATGATGAATGATAAAAAATTTTTATATTGTTTTAAATAGTGAATGACATTGGTAAAAGTCATTTATGTAATAACAATTTGCTTTGTGAAAATTATCATTAAAGGTTTCATAATTACGTCGTACACTAGCAGTAAATTAATGAAAATTTAACATTATATTTTACAATTATTTTACATTATTTTACAAACATTATATTAATTTAACATTATAATTACATGTAATAGGAAACAGAATTGACAAATTTATTGTATTTTTCACTATTGTATTTGAGGTACGTATTATAAGCAAAAAATATTTTATTCTCCTATTGCTTTTACTTAGCTGATAATATTTCATAATGAGAATAGTTAATAATAAAATATTCATTCGTAGTTAATCGGATTAGTAATTTGAGCATTATTTCGATGTAATAATAAATGAAAGAAAATAGGTTTACCATTTAATCGAAATTAAGTAATTTTCTATAAAAAGAAATTGTATCGATTTTAAACATTTTAGAAAATGAAATCGTTAATTAACTAATAAATATTGAATATTCCAGTTTGATATATATGAAAGACGTGAAAATATACTTCTCTCGGCTTTCAGCAACGCTTATATAATGTATATAACACGTCCATACTATAGATATTTCATAAAACTGGTAAATTCAATTGCGTTGAAGTCGTACTGTAAGTTTAAATTTTAAAAAGTAAATGCATTACATTTATTAGTAAAAGTGTAAAACAATAATTGCTTGTTTGAAGGATCGTTGAATACCGACCTTGTAATACGCTAAATATTCTGACTTACCAATCGCATATTTGTAAAATACTATAATTAAAAATATACTTGGATTTATGCAAAAGCTGAATTTATTGTTTCTCCACATAATAACAATAAATTGTCGTTAAATGTTCTAATTCACTAGTTATATTCTATATCGTTACACACCTTTAATTCACATTCCGCACTGCTTTGTCTTAAAATTGTTTTTTATATTTTAAATAGCTATACATTTGGGCTAATTTCATATATATATATATATATATATATATATATTTATTAATTTATTAACATTGACGTTAAAATTGAAATTATATTAGTATGCTAAATAAAACGACAGATTAATATTATTTGATCAAATTCGATTATACCTTTGTATTGTATTGTATTATATTATTATATTATATTTTATTATATTATTATATTATATTATATTATATTATATTATATTATGTATTATTTGTATTATACTTTGTATTGTACTTTTCCGTTGTATTTTTATTTAAAATACAATAATATTTATCATAAACTTTGAATCAACATGTATTTGCTAAGATCTGGGAAATTAAAAGCAAAAAAAAAAAACATGTTTAAATAGCAGACATAATGTATATCAAAGTCGTAATAACATAAATGATTAACCGTTCGTTTTATATAAAATATTAAGAAAATTTTATCGCTTAAACATTTTATTAAATGCTTAGTCTCAAGTCGAATTTGGGTTAATAATCAAGCATTAACTGATAATCATATTTTGCAAGTTAGACCCATGCGATGTCAAGTAGTCCTTAATCTTGCAATTCCTTGGCCTAAAAATCCACTCTAATCATATTGGGATTAAAGCTCACGAGTGCGCACTATTATTTCTATTACAGTAGAAGAAATTAAAAGAGTAAACAGCCACGACAGAAGCGAAAAGAAAAGAACAAAAATCACGCAATTACCTCTCGAGATTGGTCGGTCAAAATCGAATTTATAAAATCCATGCGGGCACACTATTAACATGTCAGTGCACACATATGCTCATGCACAGGTGTAAGTAAACAAACACAAAAACACACAAAAACACGCACACGCACGCACATAATTCACCTCGATATCTTGGCAAGAAAATCTCGCGGGCGCGAGTGTCAAGGTCCCCGTAGCCTTCAAAATGCGCGGACGCATGCTAATGTCCTGGATTGTGCATTATAATGTTTAAATCGTATGCGCGTGTGACAAAATGAAATACGACTGGATAAGTGAATGAATAACAATTAGGTATTTCATAGATTGGGTATAGGAATTAGTTATGGACAGAATGGTGAGGGCTCGTTAATTGAGATTGATTTATATATATATATATATAGAATATCAACGAATAGAAAAATTATATAATAAAAAAAGATTTAGATAGCAAAATCATTAAGGAAATTTTATATAGAACATGTATTTCAATGTACAGTCCCATTCGGCAAATATTACGCCTATTTCGAGTTCTTACATTATTAATTTTTAAAATAACTTTGCCGTATGACTAAATATGCTAATTTTAATAGGGTTAATGTTTTGTACACAACTAAGAATATAAAAATAATAAAATTATTAATAGAAGAAATATTTTTTATTTTTCTTCCTAGCTGAAGTTCTATTCTTTAGAGTTTTAATATATTCTTAAAAACGTTAATAAATCATTTTTACATTAAAAGTATTTTCAGAATCTATATATCGCTGGATAATGAGTGACAATAAAATAAATAAAATATTATGCAAAAATAGAATATTATTAAATGTCTTAAAGTGATCGTATTCTTATCATTGAATTATACGATTTTAACAAATTTGACACTATGTTTACGTAATTTTCTATTGTCAAATGTACGAAGATGTAAAATGTTTATAAATTAGTAAATGTATTCTTGAAGTATTATATTGAAGCATATTGAAGCAATAAAAATTTGTAAGAAAATCTCAGTAAAATAATAGTTAATTTAAAAAATCAAAACTATTATTTATTTCGTGAAAGCGTATGTGATTTGTTATTTTGAAATTATGACGTTTGAAATTGTTTAGAAAAAATATATATATATATATATATATATGTATATATATTTTATTTATTATTATTATTTTTTTTTTTTTTTGAAATACAAAGACTAATTATTCGATAATTTTACTTGATGCCACTACATGAAGCTATAATTAAAAACAAAGATTTAAGCTAATTTTCTAGTAATAAAAAAGTGCTAAAAACGTTGATTATAGTTTTGTAAATTAGGCATCATTAAACGTAATAGAATGTAACTGCATAGTAAACTGTTCGAGATTTGTTTCTAGAACTTTTTCTTCTTTAATTGAAAATCAATTTCTCGTTTGAGTGTAAAATCTAGATAACAAAGCTTTTTTTATTATATATATATATATATATATATATATATATATTTGTGAAGCTATTAAAAGCCATATATTCCTTCCCGTAAAATTTAGCACCGGATTTCGTGTAACGATTTTAATGAAATCTGAACTTGCGATCTATCGATTAACCTTATTTTGTCGCTATACTCACTGGCACATAAAAACGCAAGGTTCCATCAATAAAGATAGGAACTTTATCACCTGACACTTGGAGTGTCTGACCGAACAAACATCAATTCTACTCGTACGCTGGAAATACAAGGAGTACACACAATTGGAGAGCTGCACGTAAAATTCCGATTATTTATTACATTCTTGACAAACGATGCATGATAAAGATTTCTTAGACTTGTTTTAGTAAAATATGCAAATGCTAGCTTATCTATTTACAGGGCATTTTTTTTCTCTCGATCCAATATGATTAGAAGCAGACGCATACTATTTATCATATTTACAATTTTTATTTTTTTATCGTAGTTAAAAACTCTTACTCTAGTCTTTCAACGCAATTACATAACGAAAGCTCATACATCACGCTTACTTACTGCATTTATAATCGCCAGAAATTTAATCAGACAGTAAATTCAAATCGTAAAATAATCCAAAGTTAGTGAAAAGCTTTATAGCCGCCTAAGTATTTGTCAAGCTACGTAATGATTAAATAGTACTTTGGACGATGAGGCTGCAATTTTATGCAAAGCCTTATAAGTTTGTTAATTTAAATAAATATTAATCTCGAGACAATCAATTCAAAGCCAAACTACTTTATGCTGTGATACGCAATATTACTTTTAAGGTATCCAAGCTCGTGAATGTGCATCGGACTCGGAGTGCGCCGGGATTAAGGATGCATCATGCTTGGAGAGTATATTTACGAAGGATAAGAAGTTGCGATGCTTATGCGGTGATTACAGGGAACCCCGAAATGGACTTTGCGATAACCAATATAAAGGTAAGTCGAGTTCTATGTGGCTGTATAATATTACGAATATGTATATTATATGTGCAATATGTACGTAAGTTCCAATTTATGTAGCGATATTATGATTTATTTTAAAAATTTAAAATAAACGATAATTTCACTTCTACTAAGCATAAAAGTGTTATAAATGACGATTTAATGGTAGCTGAAAAGTACATTTTGTACAATTTAATATTATAATATTAATAATTCACATAATAATAATTAAAGAAGACTGCTAGCTTATCTAAAAATATTGCAACATTTAATAATATATAATTCGTGAAATAAATTATAAAAAATATTCAGCAAGTTAAAAAAAAATGTGTAAATTTACAATTACTAAAAATCAGTCAATATATATGTGTTTTAAAGCAATTATTTAATTTTTTATCCTGAATCTATGAACTAATTCGAAGTAATTTCACATTTCAATGACAAGATAATTTCACAAGAAGCCAATCATCTACATTGATGAAATTACATCCTTTATAACTGACAGGTGATAGATTAGATAGTTAGGATTGGCTCACAAAGTAACTGCACCCAAGAAATAAATTATCTGCCATTAGATGAAACAAACAATTAAATTTGTGATTTTTTAAATTATATTACAATTGTACGTGGTCAATTATTATATTTTATTTCTATAAATATAATATTGGATGCTAAATAATACATATTTAATAATATTTTACTATTTACTTTATCTATCTCTAAATTATTTATCCAAATTATATTATTAATATATATTCAATGTGATTTCATGATATAAATTTCTATAATATATCTATATATTTTAATATCTCGATTTCTATTATTTTTCACATTTTTTAAATATGTACATAAAATAATATACAAAAGAAATTTAGTGTAAGTGGAGAAGGTATATTAATAACAGTTTTAATAGTATTAGATAAATATATTTTCTCAACGTGTTAAATGTAAAATGTGTTAATACTTTAATAAGTTCACTTATTTACAAATTTTTCTCATAGTACTCTCAAGCAATTCGATAAATAAAATAAATTAACATTCTATGAAAAATTAGAAAAATTTTATCATCTAAGTGCAAATTACATTACACACATTTATTACTATAATTGTCCTTCGCAGAATCAAGTTCGTGTGCACACTCATTGACCAGAAAAAGTCTTATATCCGTGATATAAATAAAAAGTAAGAGCGAATGTATTTGTACGTTAAAAATTTTTGTTTTGTGCGTATTATTATAAGCTTGGCCAGTCTTTGTAAAGTATTACGCCGTAAACATTGATTATGTATATATAAAGACAAAATTTTTAAGTATTGCAGTTTGCTTATTTACACATTTGATATTTAATTTAAAGGAAAATCAATAATATAGTTATTTAAAATTAATCTGTTGTTCATTTTTAGGCTAAATATTCCTATGCACTGTTAATATTTGCTTTAATAATTTAGAATAATTTAAAAGCCAATATTGTATACAAAAAATATAAAATCTTAACATTTATAAACTATTAAATATAAATCTTAGTAAGCTAATAAACAATTTGGAATCATTATAGCACATTTATTAGAGAGTAAATTTTGTTATAATTAAGTATATAACTATAATTTGTACTTTATAAATATTAAAAAATTATGTATAAAATTAGATGTAATGCCAATAATATGTAGATATCAAGAAAAGAAATTCTAATATTTATATATTTTAGAAAGAATTGATCTTAATCTATGTAAAATCCATTAAGCATAAAAATTCTTAAATTAGAAAAATGAAAAAAGATAAGTAGATTAAAATTCAGATATTTGCTTAATTAGCTTTGCCACATTATATATTCAATATTTATATAATTAATAATTGTGTGTGTGTGTGTGTGTGTGTGTGTGTGTGTGTGTGTTTGCATGTGTCGCGATATAAATAATAATAAAGATGTAGATGTAAAATAACGGCTTGCGGATCAATCTAATTTATAAACTTAAAACATAGACACAAGTATCAATGTCTTTTTTAATACAATATGTGAGATTATTCAGAAAATTTTACATATTTTAATTTAAAACATATTTATTCATTGTTTGCAATATAAAGTTTTATTTTTATAAAAGCCAGTGACTGGTTTTAAAAATACTTTATTTTACCGTTTAATCGCTATTTCTCTGTATAAAAGTAATTAGCAAATCAACACTCTTTACTATTTATCAATATATTTTCGTTTGTATATGATAAATGTATGTTAAATTTATATCAAATGTACATCATAAGTAAGATCATTTAAAAATATTAATAATTTAAAATAATACATTATAAGAATTTCAAAATTATTATTTGTATTGTATTAGTATACAAGATATATCCAACTTTATACTACTCGACTTCGCCACAATATCCTCATAAATTGTATAATAATATAAAAATATAGAAAAAGTTTGTTACATTTTTTGAATGAAAATATTAATATTGAAACAAACAAATTTGCGATTAAAATCAGCAAGATTTACAAGTCTTTCACACACAAAAAAAAAAACTTTTACATATTTATTAAGTCTATATTTCAAAATACTTAGTATCACGAAAGCTGAAATTGTACTTTAGAAGCATTAAAAGCGTTTAATACATTAATATATAAAATTATTTCAAACAGCAAACTTTTTATATTTCTTTTACTTTATAAAGATTATTTATTGATTTTAGACGATTGTACATAGATTAATATTAATAATTTTCCAATAAAGTCTTCAAAAAAATATCTAATAGTACAAAATCTCGATGTCTCAATTTATTCGATGCCTGGTAATCTATTAAGTGATCGACAAAACCTAATTTACTCGCTAAACTCAATAAAGAATTACATTAGCTTTGTCTCCTTTATATCCAATTTAATAAAATTAAAAAATTGCCTTCAAATTATTAGAGAGCATCGAAATTTCCTAAATTCAACTCGGAAATAATTTTTCGCAATCATTCGAATTTTTTGAGTATAGATGGCTTATAGCACGCGAGCTACGTACGTTACTATAACGTGGAGGTTGCGGGGGGAGGGGGGGTGGGGGGTAACGACGATTTGAAGAGGGAAAATCGCAAACGATAAGTTCATACAGGAAGCTCGCATGCTCCGAAGTAATAAACGGCGAGCGTCGCGGAGTTTTTGTAAGGAAGAAGAAACCTTTGTATGCGTGCAAGTGCACGCGCGTACGAATGCACAGACGAGAGCGTAAGAGAGGGAGAAGGAGGTAAATGAGCAAATGAGGTTTAGGTGGTGAGGAAGATTGCAGGTGATAAGTATTTAAAGAAATTAATTTCACAATCGCTATCGTACTTAGTAGAATTTAGTACGAGTTTGAGTTATCGATCGTTGCTTTTCGATGCAAATCCGGAAATTTTATAAATGCAGTTTAATCGAGTATGAAAAATAGGGAGAGTAATGTTGAGAGGATCGTATTTATCTTATATAAATAATGAGATAGGGGATGTATAGGGATAACTGTGAAAATAATAAATAAAATAGAATAAAAATAAGACGAAATTGCTTTATGTACTTACACGTTAATAAATAAGTATTACGCGAAGAAGCAATTCCATTTATAATATCATGAAACTCATTAGATAAATTTTTGATGAAAATTATGACTGTTAACTGCTCATGCTTAGTTAATCTCAACTTTACCTATTCCTCAACGTATTATTAATAGAAGTGAATAGATTCAAGATGAAATCTTTTAAATTGGAATTATTATAATTAATTATCATTTTGATGCTTATAATTCTACAGATAGAGAATTTTGTAGAAATAATACTCCTGGTAAATGATAGACTCGTAAATATAAAACAAATCCTTTAACAGCGATTCCTCAATTAACATTTTTTATGAATTGTTTGAGCGATATGCAGTCATTATCTTTAAAATACAATCGATGACTAATTGATCTAAATTACAAATAGCTGCGTAGTTGAGCCATGTATATATTATTTCTAACGAGCTTGTAATTTCATAATTTATGTATATGAGCTAGGATTGTTGGTATATATATTTTCTTCAATACAATAATTTAAGACGTTAAAAATTAAAATTGTTGAAACAGACTTGGTTATATACTTATTCGTTAATGAATTAAGTTTACTAAAATTTTCCCTCGATTTTCGTAGTTTTTAATGTTTGGCAAGAATAGTTCTCAAATTTTCATAATAATTGTTATATTGTTAAAACTTTTTGCATTCCTTCGATTCCATTAAACAATAAGTCTCATTTCCTAAGCGTGAATTATTGAAGTGACACACAATATATGATTTACAATTTATAACTTGGTATTATTTAAACAAATTTTACAAATTTTAATTGTAGGAATAATTTCAGTGTTTGAAGGATTTGTATATTTGAAAATTAAAAATCAAACCACTCATGGCGTCCAATTTATTGCATAAAGTGTTATCATTTTACTAATAAAATGCCCAATATTTATCACGTTTTAATTTTTAATTATAAATAAATAAATATATACGTTTATTGAACATAATCGACGAGAACTATCTTGAATAACATTATTATTAAAATGCTTTTCTCAATTTAAGGTGTCAAAGTACTATGCAACAGCAATGACGAGTGTACCACAGGAGCCCAGTGTATGGTAGGAAATGACACGAGTCTGATGGGCAAACGATGCTGGTGTATGCAAGGTTACGACGTCGACGAGGACATGCAGTGTAGCGGTTTGTGTCTATGATTATTATAAATGATTCCCATTGTTTTCAATGCTACTGATAATTGAAAAATCCAAAACATGCGGTTGTGACGAGTGTTTAACGAGATTGAATCGAGAATTTTAAAGAAAAGTAACCAATCGATCGGATACTTTAAAGTCGACAATTTGGAAATACGACGGCCGATCAATATTGAAACAATGACATATAAATTACAGTTATTAACAATTAAGATTAACAATAAATATTTGAATAAAAGATTTGTGGAAAAGTGTGACTAGGCATTTCTAATGTTCACATGTCATCAAATGTCATTTATAGCGTAAAATTTTTTTTTTTATTTTTTTTTTTTGTTTTTTTTTTTTATAGTAGCTAGTATTTGACGACTACTTAAATGAAATTAAAAATAGTCTATAGATTTAAAAATAAAGTTTATTACTGTAACGTAAAATTTCCAATACGTATTTGCTAAGTATAATTTTATAACTCTTATATTGCGTATTTGCAAAATCTTCAAATGTCACATAAAAAAAATTAAATACATTTTAAATTTTATTTCGATACGGTATTATAAAATATAATCCTTCATTAAATATTAAAACATACGCCACCCACTAATGCATAGTCTAAATCTGATAAGTTATACGAGACATGCAAAGCAAAGGAGAAGAAAAAAAAATCAAGGCCTCGGTGTACCTTACAAAAGATAATTAAAGACAGTAATTAACTGCTCGTTTAATTAAAAAATTACTTTCGCTTTCTATCGTCCTTTAAATTAATTAATGGTGTATATTTTTAAACAGGTAGTTCAGTAGCTGTTGGACTCTCCGCCCTATCATTGGTTGCAAGTCTATTAGTCGCGGCAAACGTTTGATAAAGCGATAAAGAAGATAACTATTTTATAAAAAAAAAAAAAAAAAAAAAAAAAAAAATTTTAGAAATACTACAGAATAGACGAAATAAATAATTATTTTAAACTATTATTGTAAAATTGATTTATTATGCGTTGTAACGTCTGTTAAACCGTTAAGAAGAAGAAGAAGAAGAAGAAGAAGAAGAAGAAGAAGAAGAAGAAGAAGCACATTTTTGCGAAAATATTAATACGCATATGACAACGAAGAGCTTAAGTTAAAGTTTGAAAAGCCATGATTGCCTTTACAACGAATGCACCTAGGACAACGTAGTTCAATCAACCGAGTGAATATAAAATTAAGCGAACTTAGTGGCAAATTTATCCAATTATCCAATCAAACATACACTATGAAGCTATAAATATTTAAAGTAATAATAGATTTATAATATAATTATAGATTTATAATATTTGTACTTGTATTATTGTAAGCTACGATCAATGTCGCTGCAGTCATTTCAATTACACGTATTTCGTTTTTGTAAAAATTAGATTATCTTAGATAATCGTGCACCAACAATATCAAATGAAAGTAATTAAACGAAAATAATAATAAAGAATAAAAGTACAAGATTATCACAATTATTTTACTTCACTTCTTATCTTCATCATTTTTTAACAAATATTAATTGGGTAATTTTATTTCCCGTTTGGCCACCGAATGAAAATGTCTTTGACGGGAGTTCATGTACAAGTTGAAAATCTAAAACAATATTAAAACGATAAGCATCAATGATTAAATGACATATAGATAATAAAATCTAGTATACGATTACGTATTTTAAAATAAATTTTAATTATTTATTTACAACGCTGTTGCAAATCGTAATTCAATGATATTTTATAAATAACGTTAAGCCAAGTGTTTATTCATTCGCTATTAAAACACCATTCAATTACCAACTGTAAGTGTTAATTTCTTATTATAAACAAATATTTTCGTAACATTCTCTTGAAGTCATTAATAGAAATGTAGAAAAAAAATTATAATTTGAATTGTTATATTGACATTTATATAAAGATAAAATTATGAGCTAATTTTGACAAATGTTCATAAGCTTTTAGTTTAATAATTCAATCCATGCTCGATTAATAAATTTTATAAAAAAAAAGAAAAAAAAAAAATTCATATAAAGCAAATTAATATTAATTTATTATTTATATAAAGTATTCTTAAATAACAAATTAACAAACTTAAAAGTTATTTTAACATAGATATTAAAAATGTATCGAGTGTTCAAAATAGCGTCTAAGACATTATTATAATACATCTACAAAGTCTTATTCATCGGCAAATGTTTCGATAATAATTCTAATTTATCAATAAAAATAAGCCACTATTATCGTTTCTAAAAATATGTTTAGCCACTCATGATAGATATGTTACTGAAACACAATTTATTCCATTAGAAAGATATATATATATATACATATATATATATATATATATATAAATATTTACGTCTTTAAAATTCTTTATTTAGTTCGTTTAATTTATTTTGTCTTAAGATATAATCAATTCATAACAAATAAGTTAATGCTTGATATTAACAAATTTTATAATTTAATTTTTAAGATATTAATTCATGTATTTAATAATTAATATATATTTCTGTATATCAACAATTATTTCTACATCACTTGTAAAATAGTTATCCATTGCAACATAAACATTTTCAACGCATCGCATAATTATCGATTAATATTACCTTCAGCCCGTAATAATCTAACACTCCGAATCAATAATTAGAACAAACATACATTTGTAATTTACTCTCAACCAGTATTAAGATATTGTAACGCAGTCTGTTGAATTGAATTAAAAATGCAAAACTCACAGTCTTTGAAATGCTCTATTAACTCGTCTTTCGTCCAATTGCAAGATGTGAGGGCAAAGAAGCCACCATCGGATAATATTTTGTGAACGTTTCTTATGTACCGTTTGCGCTTATCTCCGGGATCATGTGGATGAAGACTTATGGCATCGTAAGTCCCTTTATCGTGGGCCAATTTAAATTGGAATTCGTGATCCTCGCAAACATTGACAGGTGCAATAATGTCGTGAACTTGTAATTTTATCGTGGGAAATCCTTCCTCGTTCACGACTTTTCTCGCTAAATCAATGGCTTTTTGCGAGTAGTCGACGCCAATCAGATTTTCATATCCTGCTTTGGCAAAATCGACGAGCGTCATGCCGTTACCACAGCCGACATCGATTATTCTGTCCGATTCCTTTGAGAGACTCAGCCTCGTGCTTATGAATCTACGAAGCAAGGAAAGAAAAATATTAATCGTCGAAAGATTGTTATTGAATTGCTTTTGTAACGATTGTTGTAATAATTATTGCAATGATCAATTAGCAGCGGTCATCAATTAGAGATAAAGTGAAAGTCTGCTAATTGCATACAAAAAGAGAAAAAAAAACTGATTATCTTCGTTGATAAAAGCAAGAATACACACGACTAGAAATATTATAAAACAAAATATTTGATATTCAAAACAAGTGAACGAAGCAGAGTTATAAAATTATTAAACAACCATGAAGAACGGGCAGACCTACGTTATACATTGGCTGTTAAATTTAGGAAAGTGAATTTTCCTCCTGCACGTGTCCAATTGTTGCATGTCAAATGACATTTCAATACATTGCTGATTCTAGATACGAGTAAAGTAGATTTGACCTATCGGCAGTTCGGAACTTTTAACATCAAATTCGTAATCAATATAAGTTTTCGAAATTATAGTAATCATTAGTAGTATTTCCGAGGTCGCTTCGATAGACTTTTGCTTTACTTTTTACGTTTACGTTCCCTATAAGTGCGCTTATTCCGGTGCATTCCAACCTTATTTTATCGAAAAAAAACTTATAGAATTATCATTTAATATTATTTTTGTGCATTATTCGTATATTATATTCGTCAATTGAATGTGTTCATTTATAGATAAAGTCTTTCATTATTTTATACGTGCATAAATAAATTTACTCCAAATACTTAATTACCAAATACGTAATTCTTACTTACTTAAAAACCAAATAATAATAATAAAAATCAAATAAATAACAAATCGAACGCTTTACTCTTTAGAAAATCTATGGAATTGAAAGCGATTATCAGGCATGTATGAACTCTATAGATAATCAAGTTTGTAATATTATCGTTGGGTACAAATTCCAAAATTCGCTTCTTCAAATTCGATCGTTCTCTTTCAACATTAACAAATATTTACACAGATTTTACAGTAAGTGATCAATGTAATAATACAAAAATAAATAAACATAATTTAATAGTTTAATTATATTGTTTCATCGGCAATTTACTCAATATCAAAATTTAATAGGAAATCATTTTACCGACCGGCACAAACGCCATTGGATTTATAATAAAAATATTTTTATTGTTTTAATGTTACAGTCGTAACCCCGATAGATGGCAGCTCATTAAGATAATGTTACAGGATTATTCAGGCTTACTCACACATTCACAAGCATCTTTGTTTACAAAAATAATACATTGCTACGGGAATAATACGGATATAACGTGGAATATTACGGCATACAAGTATTATAATGAGACTTACTTGACAATTTTAATGGAACTGTCGGTACCGAACCAAACTTCACCAACGTCACTATGATCCTGAAAATTTTCGATTTCTAAAGAATAAGTTTTTTCCCAGCTGTAAGGTTAAAATTCACTTTTCAGACAGTAGAACATCAAACATTTCTTGTTCTATTATTCTTGTTCTCTCAGTATTTGACAATACCTTAGAATCCAATTATTATTCATTAAAAATTTTTACTTACTATTCAAGAGTTCCCAGCTCCGATGTAGTCAATTCATCGATTGACTTTTCCATGCTTTATAGTACATGTGTGCTTAATACACCATATATTTCTCTATTAACGTTTAATTTTATATTTGATTTTATTATCGCGTTATTACCTACGACTTTGAGTATCTAACATTTGCAAAAATAAACAAAAAACGAAAAAAATTAGATTCAATGCTTTTTTTATACATTTATTATAGCACGTTAATTTAGTGTTTTTGTAACTTTACTTATCTTGTGTGTTTCGTCTCATTACAAATACCTAACTTAACCTTTAATCACCGAGTGCATGAATGTCCTCGAAATTTCTTCGAATCATTGTGCTTTTCTTAATAATTTTAATTGTGTTATTGCAAACTGCAGATAAATGACACATGTTGGAAAAATGAGTTCGATATATAATTATTCTGGATTTTTACAATTAGGTGAGTAAATTAATAGTTCGTACTTTTTTTAAAATACTTATAAGGTTTTAAAAGCCTGAATTAAATTAGCCAAAATATTATCACATTGCAAATTGTATCCAGAGATAATTATAGATTTATTGTTCTTTGAACAGGAAAGCAATGCTCAAAGTTTTCAACTTCGAGTTTATGTTCCATGTCTGTAGCGGCACAGCCAAAAATCCAAGAAAATATAAAACCAAAAACTGGTATATTAATGTTGAATATGGGTGGTCCATCAACCACAGACAAAGTAGGAGAATATTTGCATAGAATTATGACAGATCGTGACATGATTCAGCTTCCAGTTCAAAGGTTTGTGATGTACTAGTAAAATACACAATTATATAACAATACAGTTAGTTAATTGCCATATTATAAATACAGTATAATAATGTAGTCGTTTAGGACCGTGGATTGCCCAACGACGTACCCAGGAGGTTCAGAAAAAGTATACAGAAATAGGTGGTGGCTCACCCATTCTTAAATGGACTAATAAACAAGGTGAACTACTTGCCAAAAAATTAGATGAAATATCACCAGAATCTGGTCCCCACAAACACTATGTCGCCTTTAGATATGCCGATCCACTAACCGAAGAAACATTACAAAAAATAGAAGAGTATGTCGATATCTTTATACATAATAAATAGATCTTCATTTGAAGGTTCGGTATTCGAACTTTATGACTATTCGTCATTATAGCGAGTATGTCAATATCCATTTTGTCTCTAGTGAAATCATTTCAAAGTCGATTAAATTGATTAATGTATTTTTTTAACAACATCAGTGACTCGAATTTCTTTTAAGGGACGGAGTGCAACATACAATCCTATTTTCTCAGTATCCACAATATAGTTGTGCCACATCTGGATCAAGTTTTAATGCCATTCACCGATTTTATAAAAATAGGTAACATTTTGTATCCATCGTATTTGTTTTTCAATTTTATTTACTAATAAACATAAATTGAATTCATTAGATTATCTTGATCTTAATATTTTATATTTAATATTTTAATATTTATATATTTTCATATTATTTCATCTGTATTTGATCAGAGATCAATGTATATATAATATATTACTTTCATTATTAGAGATAATTTATATTAAATAAGTATGATAAATTGTAGTTTAAAATAAAATCTGAATAATCATAAAGTCAGAAAAATGACGATATTGTCATATTGAATTATTTCGATGATTTTCAATTCGACATTTCATTAAGATATAAAATTAATATATATAAAAAAATTATACTTATTCTACAATGTAATTAGCTAAAGCTGTAATATAAATTTATATTTAGAAAATTTCCTGAAAACACAAAACTAAGTGTTATTGATCGATGGGCTACGCATCCACTCTTAATCAAAACTTTTGCCGAACGTATAAAAGAAGAATTAAATCATTTTTCAGAGAATGTCAGAGACGAAGTCATTATTTTATTTTCAGCGCATTCACTGCCTTTAAAGGTATATTATATAAAATAAATAAATAATAATAATAATAAGTTGTAGTTAATGTGGAATAGATTATTCGGTAAAAATATTTTAAACAATAATGTATCTATAATTAGAAATTTTTTATATAATCATAGCATATGTTTATGGCTCGTATATACTTTTAATTACAATTTATAATATAATAGCAGTGTCCTTATTATTGAAATTATTATTGAAATGAATACTTATACTTTATACATTTGTAGATAAAATAATAATGGTAAATTAATGCCAAGTAGCCTTGATTGAACATAAAATGTTTTCTAAACACAAACTACAATATATTATTTCCTTAATTTTATTTTTCATATAATTATACTTTTACTATCCGATGTTGATTAATTTTTGTATCGCTTTGCATTCCTTCAAATAATAAACTGTTTAAATATTCGTCGATATTTAATTTTTCATCTAATTGTAATACATAGAGAGGGAAATATTTACTTATTGTATAAATTGACTCTAATGATTCAATTAAAATAAATAACAAATATATAAGATAATAGAAGTAAATTAGTTATTTTGCATAAATTCCTCACGATCTATAATACAAGAACGATTATGATCTCTAGGCAGTAAATAGAGGTGATCCATACCCATCGGAAGTTGGTGCCACGGTTCAGCTCGTTATGGAAGAATTGAAATTTTGCAACCCCTACAATTTAGTATGGCAGTCAAAGGTTCGTATATACTAGTATTTACGTACATCTACGTACGTAGACATGAAAATTCTTTACAATGGAGTGATTCAATGATATTATACGTTTGTTTATATCAAGGTTGGACCATTGCCGTGGCTGGGACCATTCACTGATGAAGCATTAAGAGATTACAAAAAACAGGGAAAGAACAATTTCATATTAGTCCCTATTGCTTTTGTTAACGAGCACATTGAAACTCTTCATGAAATGGACATTGAATATTGCACTGATTTAGGAAAAGAGGTATTCTAAATAAGCATTTAATGGATTCCAGTTAAGAATATTTAACATCGATAGATATGTCTCTATTCAATGAGAAATGTGGATATTAAACATTACAATGAATTAGAATTTTTCTAACGAAATTACAAATGATATATATATATATATATGTATTTTAGTTGAAAATCGATAATATACGAAGAGCTCAGGCCCCCAACGATCATCCACTTTTTATCGAAGCACTTGCTGATCTCGTGGTCAATCATCTCAAGTCCGACAGACTCGTAACACCCAAGTTTCTCAATAGATGTCCACACTGTGTTAATATGAATTGCGTCGAGAGTAAAAAGTGGTTTTCAAAGATATGTCGGGCGCAAGAGGGACAGCAGAGGGATTAAGATTAAGGGATTAAATCGCACATTTAGCATTTATACAAATTTACATTAAAATGTGTATATAACTTTTAAATATAGTAAATTAATATTTCGCAATTTAATTTGTAATAATTAATATCTATAATAAATTATAGAACAATGAAGCGTTGGTTTTATATAATTAAGATTATATAAATATATATGTATCCCTTTTGAAAATAACATTCCAGAAAACCTTGTAAATTTATTTGTAAATTATTACAAGCATAGAGAGAATATTAAATTGTAATTGAATTAAATGCCATTATTTACATTTTCATTTATAACAATAAATTATTTTATTTGGGATATTGATTTTTATATTAACTACTTGCGCAATGACAGTGACAATATAATTGATTGTCGTCATAAAAGCTATTTAAGGAATTACTTAAGGAGACTAAAAATGGAATTAAAAATTCCCAGGCTGTAACATCTTATTTTATCTTTGACTCTGTTGGGTGATTAATTGGCACTGTTTATTTGCCGAATGTCAAGCAAATTGACCTCGAATTTGCATATGCGATATTCTTATTAGAAGAAACTTAATTGTTGTTGTTGTTGTTGTTTTTTTTTTTTTTTTTTTTTTTTTCATATGTAGCGGAAGAAAACCAGATGTTTAATTGTGGACGATAAATAAGATTATACTTTGCATAAAATGATATGATAACAATTTTCAAATAGAATTTAAAATATAGTTTAATATTCCAAGTTATGATCGAGTCGACAATTATTTTATACATGCACCGTGTTACTTAACATTAACGATTATTTACCAAAATTTCCAATATATTATACATAAATGTAATTGTTTAATTATAAACAGTAAAGAGATTTCAACAATGAGACAATTCATTGTTAAATTAGAAAATCTAAATATTCAGCCGGAATAAGAATAAAAATATGACCCCAAATATATATGTTTTGCTTTTAATGTGAGAGCAAGACATCGTTGACAACAGCGAAAATGATCAAGGAATACGTTATACTTATAATTGATTTAAAAACTTTACGAAACTTAATTGTCTCGCCTCGCTGCTAGTGCAACTTGTAAGTGACAAATTACTCATCTTTTGAGTATGTTTAACGAATCGTTAACAAACACTTCGAGTGCTTCCAGTTTTTGACCTTCTTTTTTATTTTCGCTCACTCAAAATTAAGCGCCATAGTTGATCTGTGATTTAGCGAAATTGATCTGTATATGTTTCATTAAGACGACTACTCACTATTTAATCTCTAACGACTTTGTCGAGTGATAAAGCAGATATTTTTATCACGCGATCGCTCAAGCATTGAAACTTGTTATAAATTTTTAAAATGTAAATTTCTTATTGTATTAAGAAATTTTCGTTTTATATTCCATTTCCAATGAAACATGATTAATAGAAGTGCTGGATATATTAAAATCAAAATATTTATCCCAAGATATTTCTATTTCTACGATATATTGGAATAATATTAAAATATATTATAATAAATGACTAACAAATATTTTGTAAGAAATATTTTCATGAAATTTTTTCTAAAATATTTAAATTTTAATTTCCAAATTATACATTATTAAAACAATAAGCATATGAATAAAAAAAAAAAAAATATATATATATATATATATATATATACATATACTATTAATATAATACATTTTATATTTTATATATCTTATATATATATATATATATATATATATAAAATTGGAAATATCATTGAATAGGTCCTGATAAATATTTATAATATAAAAAATAAAGAATAATCTAAAATCCTTTAATTTAACTTTATTCCATAAATTTTAATAAGTTTTATAGATTTCATAACTTCCATTTAATTTTTCTCGTAACTGCAATCTTTATTTACAATGAAAATACATTTAATATAAATCAATAATTATATATTAAAAGATGAAATTATTGCACTAAAATTAAATTTAAATGAAAAAGTATATTTAATCGTCAATTTAAAATGAAAATTTAAATTCTAATAATTCTGAAGCTCTAAAAATATATAATTTTGGTGAATTGAATAGTTAATAGTAAATTATTTTACTTTAATATATATTAATTAATATAATTGGTGTTCGGATTCTAATATTAAAAGATATGATTGTATTAAGTAATGACTTTATAACTACAAATTTAACGATTGCGTGATTCATTACAAAATTTTTAATTAATATATGTTAACGTATAAATTATAAAAGATTAACTAACATTTCGAGATACAAATTTTGTATAATTACAGAGGATTATGAGGACGCATGTGTCAATCATTAACTGGCCAAGTGCGTTCAAAGCTTCCATACATTCTTAACTTATTTCTTATTCTTATTCACTTCTTTCATATACTTGGTATCATCATTTATCATGACTTTAATAAAGAGGCATTTGTAATAGAAAAATTAATTTTTTTAATTTACAGTTAATTATTATGAGAGTATCGTATACATATACATATATATATATATATATATATATATATATATATATATAATGTAAGTTTTAAGCTTATTTTAATCTATTTTTTCAAAATCAATCTTACGATATTTTTGATATTTATACAATTTTTAAGCTGTAATTTGATAATAATTTAAAATCGTAAATTTATATATTGTTTATTATTATAAAATAATATTAAGAAATATACATAATTATGGCCACAGTAAATGGTTTATCAATTATTTTAAATCTCTCGAAAATATATTACTTAATCACTTCGTTTCAATGATTTAAAATTTCTTTCTAAAATTATAAGAAAGATAATCCATAATCTTGTATTATTAATAATGTGAAAAAATATTGCATACAATATACATTAAACAATGCTGTTTAACATAAAACTTTAAAGCAAATTTTGTAATCACTTACGGCCTAATATAAATTAACAAATTCCGAATAGATAGCATTTTATTTTATTATTAATATTATTATTTATGTTCGTGGTAAAGATCAAGAAAATCCTAATTAAGCTATTATATAAACAAACTGAGTATATACTGAGTTTAAAATATAATATATTTACCAAACACATTATTTTCATAAAATATATATGTGGTAGGTTCGACAATTTTTTAAGACTTATTCGTCATTGATCGTTAATTTTATTATAATTAAAATGTTATAATTATTGAATTAAATAATAATTATAATAATTAAAAATAATACTACAAAGAAGAAAAAGATTTGTTTGATAAGCAGATGTTACCAGAAATTATCAATTTAGCAAAGCTATTTTAGAAAATCAAGAATTCGTCTAATTATTTAAATAAAACACAATCATATTTTTATTTTTGAAGAAATTTAAAATATTTTAGGAAATAATGAAAATTTATATTATTAATTTGTTAGCACATTCATATGATTTATAAGAAAATTAACTATTACGGAACTCATTGGAGTTTTCCTTTTTTATTATTATATGGTTATTATTTCGTTAAAAAATTATGTTTTACTTTAAGTATTTTGTGTTTTGCGTAGTTTAGTAAAGTATGTGTATATCAATGTCTACTGGACACTTGTGTAATAAGAAAATAACTATAGTAACATTTTGTTTAATCGATAAATAAAAATGATTAAATTTGAATGTTCATTTTAATTAAAACGAGGAAAATTCATGAAATAATATAAATTTTTATTTTGTAATCAGTAGCAAAATTAACCAAGAAAACCATAAACTATATGAACTTTATAAAAATTGTCTAATGAATAGAAAAATAATCAACACAAACGAGTTATAATATAAATAAATGCATTATAAAATGAAAGCTAAAATATAAATTTCAATAATCATAAATTATTGATTATATGAAATTTACAAAAGGAATCAAGAATTCATAAAATTTGTTTATTAAGTTATAAAATAAATATGTTATTAATCATAAATGTTAATAATTTAAAACATTCCTATACAGCATAAGAGAGGATATTTGTACAGTTACTTTAATAGTATATGTTAATCTTGTTAAATGCTTGTCAAAAATAGTTTTTGACTTGGAATTGATATTAATATAAAAATAAATCCATAAAAATAGTTCGTTTTAAAATTTTGCAGATAATAGTTGGATTTGAGATAAAAATCTTTAATCGATCGGAAACCTGTAGTCGAAGCTTTAATCATTATACATTTTTTCAATTCATAATATTTTAACAAATATAGGATTTAAAAGTGTTAATTATATATATAATCTGATGATTAATGAATAAGTTTATAAATTGTATAATCGATTTCATTTACAAACTTATACTGATTTAAATAATTTAAAGTATGAAAATTACTTTAATTATTCCAACAATTATAATGTAAATTATTTCTTAATGAATTAATGATTATATTCTATTTAAATAGCCGAGAATAAGTATTTAATTTTAAATTTTAATAAAAATAAAAAATTATTATTGATCAGAATTGAAGTGTAATTTTAATTTAATTTATAAATTTTTTATAAAATAGCTGAAATAATAGAGTGTATGTCTAATACAGAAATACGTTTTATGTTGTTTTTTTTTTTAGTCCAGCGTATATCATGCTTCACTAATTTAAATAAATGAAAAATAAAAATAAAATTTTTATCCTGCATTGCACTCCAAAAATGAAATAATTTATTATTGTATATTACATTTTAAGCCGAATTTTGTCAATTTCTAAAACTAACAGTCGCTGCATTTGGGATTTTTCGATGTTACGTTTTATTTATAAGTTGTTTTTCAATATTATATATAAACATATTAATTGAAAATGAAAATTTCAAACATTGTTATTTATAAATGATTAAATGAAACGTATCATATACGTTTACGTAAATCTCATTTATATCAATTTTTAATTGGCTTTTAACTAATTTTATAATTTCTATTATTGATGTTTAGTCAGTTTTTCGACTCTTGTACTCTTTTTTTTATAAGTCAACACTTTAGTATTTATATAAATATTAAATTTGGAATATCTGTTACGGTTGCAATTACGATATAAATTCTCTATTAAAATTCTTTAAATTATTCATTAAACAACAATTTAATGACAATGTTCGGAAAAATATTCAAATAATCTAATATTATTAAT